GAAAGGGAGCCTGACACAGGTCAGTTAAATAACCAGGTCACCCAGAATGCCCGAGAAAGGGAGTGTTGAGCCACTCTGAACCTCTTCCGCACTCCTGCATATGGCAGGAGGAATCGACAGAGAAGGGGCTTCTCTGAGGCTTCCACCAAAACCACAGACTGGGCTGCTCCTCCCCCCAGTAGTGGCATGAAGGCTGGCACTGCAGTCTCCCCCAGACTGGCTAAAGTCAGAATTTGTTGGCCACTGGGGATCTGCCCTTTGCTCTGAGACTACAAAGTTTTGTTTGGTGTTAATGATAACAGTAACCACTGCCCTTTTCTATGTGGCAGACTCTGTGCTGGGTGTTTTCACACATATTAACCCAGTTAATCCTCCCGACAGATTTATGGGGTCGATGGTCTTATGACACCTATTTTACAGATGAGACAACTGAGGCTACAGAAGGGGGTTGACGGACTTGGACAGGGTCACACGGCCTGGGACCCACACACACAGGTCTATCTGATGCTGCTTTAAGCACTGTTGTCAGATAAAATCCTGGGGTCCAGCTCCTTTGGTGGACAGGAGACCTTGCTGGCATTGGGAATATGGCCATTTCTCAGCCTGACCCAGGAGTGGAATGGATGAAGGCAGCCCTGACCTGGCCACCTTGGGAGGCTCATTGGAGGCTGCTGTGCTGAGCAGGTCTAGGTCTGGATACCTGGGATCCCAGCCCCTCGGGTTGAGCCCCTGTCTAAGCCACAGTGGGAGGGACACTGCTGGCCCATTAGCCTCCTACTGACAGAGTCAGTAGGGGTGGAGAAGGACAGCTGGGGTGGTGGGGGTCAGGTGGGGAGAGTGAACAGAAAGAAGGAAGGAAATGGATTCTGCCCTTCCTGCACAAATGCCCCAAAGGTTTGGCTTTCCTGGGAGGTACACACCATCCTTGTCCCTAGAGGTAGATGGAGGGTGGGTCATGGAGACAACACTAGAGTCAGCATCCAGCTGACATGCCTCTTACCAGTTGAGTGACAGTGGCCAAGGCACTGCTGTAGTGTCACCGTTGTCTCATGTGTTAAATGAGAATAATTAGCCCTTACCATGGGGCTCCCTTGGGCTCCTATCTCCTGGCTTCTCATGGTTCTCTTTGGAAATTCATTTCCACAACTGTACTCCACTTCGCCGCCACCCCACACGATCCCTCTGCTGAAACCTCAGCCCCTGGTATCTCTCTCATGCCTCTCTCGCACAGCAGCTGTCCTTTGACTTCTTGGAGCCTCAACCTGTGACCCCTCCCTCTCCTCCAAGGTCATCACTAACTTCCCAGCCTCATGCTGTCCCAGTCCAGCCTGATCCTTGAGTGTGCCACCTCTGCCCCCACTCACCAGCATCGTTCTGTGCCAGTGGGTCTACCCTCATGGCAACCCTGCCATCTCCAGCCTCAGGTGGGCCAGTGTCCCATCTGTGACTCTGCACTGATAGCTGGAGAAAAAAATGTACCACTACACAGGCTGATAACAACTCAGACCCATTGGGTCCAGCCTCAGCAGAGCCCTCCGGCCTCTCCATCCCTTGTCACCTCTCCTCTCCTCTGTCACCATCTCCTTCTTTCTCAGCAAATGGCCTTGTCCTCCACATCCCTGGTGGCATGGAGCCCATATAGCATGAACCAGCTCCTTTTCCTTTGAGTGTTTCTATCTCCTTCTGCCATCATGACCTTCCCTGTAGGCTCCCAGGAACAGGGTCCTTCTTCGAGATCCCATCTCTACACTCTTCATGAATGTCATCAGTCACCTCTCTCCTTTTTGCCTAATGCTGTCCATCACCAGGGTCACCGGGGGTCTGTAAATGGCCCAACCAGTGGACACTCCTTATTGGATCTGACCTCTGCACTGCATTGGACCATTCCTCCTCCTTTCAAACTCACTCCTCCATGGGTGTCTCCCCCTCTCCTCTAGTTTGCCTCCCACCCCCTGAAATCTTTTCAAACTCTTTTCTGTCCCCTTCCCTCTGCCCACCCCTTAAATGCCACAGTCCCCAGGAGCTGGGTAATCAGGACTGTGAAGAAAGTGCTGCTACTTTCACTTCAACAATTCTCTCATCAGTGCCCTCCTTCCTAAGCCATTGCTTGGTCCATACCTTCATCAGCCCTCCTAGAATCTCAAGAGCCTCCTATGGGGTCTCCATGCTCCCATCCTACCAACTCAAGCTCATTTCCCCCAGCGCAGTTGGGTGTTGGTTTTAAAATATGAACAGACCACATCACGCCTCTGCTTAAAATTTTTCAGCGGCTCCCCGGAGCCACTAGGATAAAACTTAAATTCCTAGAGTGAGTCCCTGCCCACCTCCCTCCATCACCATACTCTTGCATCCATAGGCCATGTCAAATACACCATGTCATCCATCTTCCTAAATGCCTAACATGGTGCCTCATTGGTAAAAGAGGTGTGTTCGTTAATGGGGCACCTAATCATTCTCTACCACTTAGTCACCTCCAAACAAGCAACTTGCCAGTCAAGTGAGTGATTGACTGAATTAATAAATGTATGGTCTGTGTTAACAACTCTTGGGTTTCCAGAAACTCTTTCTGTCCCTTGACAGGGTCTTGGTCCAGACCTCTTCATCTCTCACCTAGTGCTCCTGCAAAAGTTCCTTCTCCCAGCTGCCAGGCTCAGAGGGGCCCCTTCCGTCCTTTCTCTTACCCCACACCAGCCTCTCCACCACAATGGAAGCCTGACCACACCTCTCTCTGGCTCCAGACCTTGTGATGTAAATGCCAGGAGACGCTTGCCACTGGTCCCAGAGGACCACACGCTGTATGATTCCATTGGTATGAACTGTCCAGAAGAGATGAATCCATACAGATAGAAAGCTTAGTGGTTTGTCAGGTCTGAGAGGGATCAAGGGAGAGATGGAGTGATTAAAAAAAAAAAAAAGGCGTGGAGCTTTTCTGGAGGTGAAGAAAATGTTCTGAAACAGACTGTGGTTATGGTAGCGTGGATCTGTGAAAATCTTTGAATAGTACACTTTGAATAGTATAAAATGTGTATTATAGGTCAAAGCTCTAAGAAAACCCCCCAAAAGCCATGATGGCTTCCCACCCCCGGCCAGGGAGACACTCAGGTACCATTCAGTTTACTGCTATGGTGTAAGAGCCCTTTCCTCAAGCTCTTTGTGTGGTTCATTTCCCTTTACCCTCACACAGCTCTCTAATGTAGGTGTTATGTGACACCCATTTTGCAGATGGGAATACTGAGAAGAGAGATTTCAGTGACTTGCCTGAGGCCCCAGGATACGCTGTGATTTGGTCTAGCAGGAGCACTTCTTACAATGTGTTATAGGACCTGTTTCCAAGTTTCTCCCCACTGGACTTGAGGCTCCTGGGAATTGGTGATAGTGTCTGGTTCTGACCTAGCACCAGATCCCCACCCCTGGCCCAGTGACCTTCAGAACTGACTCAGGAAACTGAGAAGGCTGTAGAATTATGCTGGGAGTGGGCTCAGTGGTCTCAGTCTGGGACCCAGGCACCTTTGACAAAGGCAGCGTCTATCCAGCCTGCACACTGCTTCCCCAACAAGGAGATGGATTCCAGCAACTGTTCTCTCCTGGGTCCTTGTGTGGTTTCCCTCCCCGAAGCCTGTCTCCCCTCCTGGGGCTTCTCCCTGTAACTAAGAGGTTGGCCCTGCCCAGAGCTCCCGGCTGCACCCCTGAGACCTGGTTCTGCCCCCAGCTGCCTCCCAAGGGCAGCAGGCAGCACAGGAAACGCCTCAAAGAACCCCCACCTCCGGCCCCTATTCAGCCCTGGTTCTTGTGCCCACCCCAAGTCTCAGGAATGCCACTGGGATCCCCTGACGTCCTGGCAGGTGGAGCTAGATTTGATGGGGAATCAGGGAAGGCATCCCCAGCTGGACACCAGTCCTCTTTCTCAGAAACAGGGTCTTTCTCAGAAGACAGCCCGGGGTGGGGGGCAGCAGGAGTGACCCCAGGTCCTAAGGACTTGGTGATAAATGACTCAGCGGGGGTGTCACTCCGGAGGGAAGCAGACAGCATCTCCCCGCCCTGTCCCCCAGCCCTGAGCAGCCCGGGACTGGGAGTTTACTACTCCTGCTTTCTTTTTCCCTTCTGGAAGCCACTGCCTGCCTGGGCTTTCTCTCTCATACCCCCTCCCTCCCTCCTCTTCCTGGAACTCAAGTCACTTGCCAACATCCACGGACATTTTCTGGGGATCTTCTATAAGTAGCTCTATCCAAATAGCTTGGTTTGGGGACAAACTAAGATAGTCCACTCAGAACCCTACAAGGCACTTAAGTGTATGAGAAGCGAAGACTAGCCCACATGCTCCTAGGCAGGGCCGGCCATGCCCTCTGACACACATTTTACCCCTATGGCCCAGACCTCCCCAACCTAAAAACAGACTCAAGACAGATGCTGGAATCAGTGTGAGCGCCAAGGCCCAGAGGGCCCCAGCAAAAACAGTCCCCCCCAGCTCCCTGAAGGAGCAGCCTTGGGGGAGCCTGGCCCCAGGGCCCCGTGCGCATGGCAGGGAAGTCACGGCTGGCTCTTGGAAACCAGCGCTGGCAAAGGCCACTGGAATACCCAGGTGGCCTGGGGTGAGCGGTGGAGGCAGCTGGCTCCCCTCCAGAGAACTCGGGGTCCTGAGACCCCACGCTGGCCCCAACCTCTACCGACCCACAGCTCCACTTGAGATGACACCCCCAGCAAAAGGCCAACCACCCAACTTGGCCGCCTGTCTACTGCATTGAGTTTAGCTCGGGGTGGCTCCTGGGGGTCCCCTCCCCAGGAGGGTATGTGCAAAGTCGCTGCAACGCAGAAGAACAGAGAGGAGGGAGGACAGCAAACAGAAGGTCTCCCAGCCCCGGCCCCCTCTCCAGCAGGAGGGGTAGTAGGCCTGGTGAGAAAGGGAGCCTTCCCCCAAGCCCCCGCCCCCAACTCTCTGTTCTGCATGCCCCAGGCAGAGGGTCTGGCACCCACTGAGCCCTGGAACGGAGAGCCACACTTACCATGATGGAAAAGATGAGGGGAATCAGATTGAGAGGCCACACGGGGCAGAAGCAGGAGGCGATGGCAAGGATGAGGTAATCTTTGGGGACCTCTTGGTCTTGGGCAGAGGAGGCCGTGGCAATGGAGGACGCCCGCCTAGAGCTGGCCCGAGAGGCCGACCAGGGGAGTGTGGCTTCGGGGCGCCCCTCCGATACCACCTTGAAGGGCAGGCCGTGGCCATTCTGCTCCAGGTCCAGGGCCCCCGAGAGGGACGTGGACAGCATCAGAGGCTTGTCATCCTTGCCTTCCACCTTCGTGAGGAGCTTCTCCATCTCCGGTAGGTCCAGGGTTGAGGCGGTGCCTGGCTCCTGGGCTGAGGGAAACTGAGGCTGCCCCGGGTTGGCCATGTTGGCTTGGGTCTGGGGTTGCTCCAGCTTCAGGCTGAGACGCTCGGCTGCAGAGGGAGCTCAACACGCCATTCCTCAGCCCAGACTGGGGGCCGCCAGGTCGGGGGCTGAAGTGTCCCCCAGGGGAGCAAGGGCAGGGGTGGGCTTCTCTGGGCCTCTGAAGCCGGCCTGATGCCCCCGCGGAGCTTCGGGAAGCTGGAGCCTTCAGATCTGTTCAAGTTTGAGGCCAACTTTGCTGGTGCTGCTGACAGCACAGATGGGCGGGGAAGTGACAGAGAGCAGAGCAAAGAGGCTCCTCTCCCGGGTGAGGCTTAGGCTAAGTCGGAGAGAGGAGAGAGAGAGAGAGAGAGAGAGAGAGAGTACACCACACAGCCTCCCTCCCTCCCCACCCTCCTCCGAGATGCTTTTCTTTTTCAATTCCCCTCTCCCCTGAGACCGTGCAATGTGCTGCCTCAGCTCCAGCCCAGCCCAGCCCAGCCCAGAGCCCAGAGGGACTTCGGTGGGCCTCTCCTTTCCACTGCAGCCACAGAGACCGCCTCTCTGGTCTGGGGGCTCCAGATCGGAAACGGACCAAGTGGGTCACAAAGGGGCGTGTCTTCAACCGTCTTGGGAAACGCAGCCCTCTGCTTCTCTTTTGCTGGAGCGGGTCATACTTCCTCTTATCTCGGCCCTTCCTCCTCTCTCGCACGCAGGCAATGCTGAGCCCCGGACCCACCCTAGGGCATCCCACCCGACCTCCGGCCCCCGGACATGTCCAGGCCACAGCCCGGTTCCCTGCTCCAGGAGGAGAGGGCAGACTAAGCACGAAGGAAGGATCCTGCCTCAGTGGGTCTCTGAACACCTCACCAAGGGGTGTTAGGAAAGAAGTGTGAGTCTATCTCATGCCCATCTGAGCTTTTCTGGGGTGCTTTTATTTATTTATTTTTTAAAGATTGTATTTATTTATTTATTTGAGAGGGAGAGAGAAAGCATGAGCAGGAGGAGGGGCAGAGGGAGAAACAGGCTCCCCATTGAGCAGAGAGCCCTGATGCGGGGCTCGATGTGGGGCTCGATCATGACCTGAGCTGAAGGCAGATGCTTAACCTACTGAGCCAGCCAGGTGCCCCTCTGGGGTGCTTTTAAAAAGCAGCAAAGATACTCCTGTTCAGGAGCTCGCTGGTCTAAAGGACCTCAGTCCTGGTCGTCAGTCCTCTCTGATTCTTCCTGTCGCTCTTCACTCCCTCTCCTGTCTTCTCCCTGTTTCAGCCTCCTCCTCCAGGCTCCACATCTCCCCTGTGTCCCCGATCTCTCTCTCCTTACAGTGTTTTGGAAGCGTGACCTGGAACCCCTGTGTGTGTGCCTGTGTGTGTGTTGGGGGGCGCGGTGGAAGAGGGTAAGAGGAAAGACTCTAAGCCCCTACGGTCATGCAGGTTGGGGAGTGGGGAGGCAGAAGCAGGATGGGGCCTCAGAGGTTGTGGGGTTCAGATCCTCTGATATCCCAAATGTGAGGCCGGAAACGGAAGAACACTCCTCTCAAGCAGACATCAGTCCCTTGTCCTGGTCCTGCAGCCGGTTTGGAGCAAGAGGAACCACTGCAGTGGAAAGAAATAGCTTTGGTTTGTGTGTCAAGCTGGGCTCTGAAATGCTGCTTCCAGCAAGGGCTGTGTCCAGGTGGGAGTGGGGGGAGGGACTTGGGGGATGGGGAATCTGACCAGCTGAGAGAGGGGAGAACGGGGCACAGAAGAGCCGCCTGCTAGGGGCTCAGGGGGAGTCTGGGGAGCTGAAAAGGCTCCAGAGGCTCATAAATTTGGAACATACTGTGTGGCTTTGGCACACATTGTCAAGTTTGGTAAATCTGAGTATATTAAATTAAGAATTTTTTGCTTCATAAAGGAAACCCATTGTTGTTTGCAAAATGCAAGCCTCCGGGGTAGGCAGTGAGATTGTTGCTGTTTGCCTGGAAAGAGAGTGAGAGAGAGAGAGAGAGAGAGAACTTCCTCCTCATCTAGGTTCTTAAAGGAAGCTCTTCCTCCCCCAGGCCAGGGTGGGGCAGGAGAGTGAGCTGGGCTTCCTCCACCTGGAACTTCTGGAAATGTGCTAATGTCTTTTTAAACATGAGACCTCCTGCAGAGGGTGGGAAGTTGGGTGCCTGGGACCCCTAGTCTCCAAGTCAGTTTCCGGCTTGGACAGAATTCTGTATTACAGCTGGAAGCTGATGCTGGGCCCCCAGATGGGGCCTACAGCTGCCCAGCCCAAAGATTCCATAGTCTCTGGCCCAAAGGTGGCTCTTGAGCCGCCGAAATATAGCTGGTTCCAACTGAAACGTGCTGTAAGTATAGAACATACTGGGTTTCAAATACCTAGTTCAAAAAGGAACGTAAAATGTCTCATGAATACTGAGTACATTGATTACATATTAAAGTGATAATATTGTTGTTACACTGAGATGAATAAAACAGGATTAAAATGAATGTCACCTCCGTCTTTTGGCCTTTTAAAAATATGCCAACTAGAAAATTAAAAATTAGGGGTGCCTGGGTGGCTCAGTGGGTTAAAGCCTCTGCCTTAGGCTCAGGTCATGATCCCAGGGTCCTGGGATCTGCTGCATTGGGCTCTCTGCTCAGCGGGGAGTCTGCTCCCCCTCCCCTGCCTGCCTCTCTGCCTACTTGTGATCTTTCTGTCAAATAAATAAATAAAATTTAAAAAAAAATAACTCTTTAGAAAATTAAAAATTAAAAACATGGGTTGTATTATGTTTTTATTGGGCAGTGCTGGCCTTGAACAGAATCAACCCGACGTAAAGGGGTCTTACATGATTTACATGACTTATATGACTTAATAAAAACACTAAGAGGAAGAAAAAAAAAAAAAAGCCAAGAAGTCCCCAGGGTGGCTCGTGGCTGTGAGGTTGCAGGGTGGGCTGGCTTTCAGGGGTGGGGGTAGGCCAGGCTTGCCCCCTCACTGTGTGCTGCTGTGTTCACGGTGCCATCTAGTGGCCTGGTAGTGAGGAGGGGAATGACCAGAGGCGGGGTTGCCTGCTCCCCCACACCCCCTACACCCTCCTCCAAGGGGAGAGGCCGGGAGGTGCCTCAGGTTGGGGCTCCCAGGCTGGGAAGCCCAGCCTAGCAAGCTGCTGGGTCTGCAGCCTGCAGTGGCCGCCTCCCCACGCCCCCTAGTCCCAACTGGGTCTTCCACGGAGGCCCATGGGCCATACTCATCATCCAAAATGGGTTTGGGCTGCAATCCGCTTCCCATAGACACAGAGCTTCAGACTTGTAACGTGAAGATTCGGGGACTCTGGGACCGGTTTCTGCAGAGCAGCCTTCAGAAGGGGACATGGGGCTCCTCCAGCTCCACCCCCACGAGGCCTGCCTGCCTGAGGGGATTTGAGCTGTGAGCCCCTGCAGCTAGACAGATGGACTGACCTTTCTGTTCCACTGCTGCCTGGCCTGGCTGCTGAAGAAAGTCACTTCCTTCCCTCCCCTACTTTCCTGGTGTGGCTGTGAGGTCCGGGGTGCCGCAGGTGTACCCCCTGGCTCCCTCGCCCAGGGTCTGGCCCAATTACAGCTGGCTGGCCGAACCAGAGGAAGATGCAGACAGAAACCACATGTCCAGTGTGTCCACATGGACACTAATTCCTACCTCTGTCTGCCCTGGGCTCAGCTCACCCCACACCAGGAGCATCTGGGATCTGTGTGAGCACACATGTGTGCCCACAGCCCCCCCCCCCCACAACACACACACTGTAAGAAAAACTTGATGTGGGACATCTGGGTGGCTCAGTCAGTTGGGCGTCTGCCTTCGGCTCAGGTCATGATCTCAGGGTCCTGGGATCGAGCCCCACATCGGGCTCTCTGCTTGGCAGGAAGCCTGCTTCTCCCTCTTGCTTTGCCTGTCGCTCTGCCTACTTGTGCTCTCTGTCGAATAAATAAATAAATAAATAAATAAATAAATAAATAAAATATTTGGAAGGTGCTCTGAGGAGACAAATCTTTCCCCTTGAAAGGGCAATTATGAAGAACTTAATAGATACTAACTCTGTTTGCGTCCCTCCAAATTCTCTTAGGGTATGTTTATGTACCTACACGCCTGTCTCCAGTTAGAATCGTGGGCACAGACCATTTTGCAATCTGCTCTGCTAACTCACGATTTTCACTCTATTAGAACACCAGAGTTTGCTTTGCCAAGCCTCAATGGTTGGACATTCGTATGATTACAAATCTCTCCCTGTGCCGTGCCTCAGGGGCTGCCTTTTTGCAAACAGTGTTTTCGGTTTTGGATGACTCCCTTGGAGTCTTTTTATTGTGACTTTGCCCATTTTTTTCTACCAGAAAAGGAACAGAGACGCAGGACAACTAGCAATCTATAAATGTGCCCTTTTCTCCACACCTCTGGTGACATCAGTCTGACGGTTGTTACCTATTTTTGCTGGTGTGTCTCCTTCATTGCTAGACAGACAAGGTACTGCAATGAGGATAAAGGAACGGCCTGGAAGGCGCAGACTTCCTAAGAGCATCCAAGAGACCTTGTGTATTGGAGCCCGTCATGAGCTATGGGGCTGCTGCCAGTGTCTGTCATTCTTCTCTGCCCCCGCTCCTTCGAGACTCTTCCAGTGGACGGCCGCTCTCAACCTTATAGATACAGGATTTCTCTCTTTAGGTATACCAGTCCTTCGTATCTCTTTTTTTTTTTTTTTTTTTTAAGATTTATTTATTTGGGGCACCTGAGTGGCTCAGTCATTAAGCGTCTGCCTTTGGCTCAGGTCATGATCCTGGAGTCCTGGGTTTGAGGCCCACATCTGGCTCCCTGCTCAGCAGGAAGCCTGCTTCTCCCATTCCCCCTGCTTCTGTTCCCTCTCTTGCTGTGTCTCTCTCTGTCAAATAAATAAATAAGTAAAAATCTTTTTATTTTTTTATTTTTTTAAAGATTTTATTTATTTATTTCACAGAGAGAGATCACAAGTAGGCAGAGAGGCAGGCAGAGAGAGAGATAGAGGAGGAAGCAGGTTCTCTGCTGAGCAG